TATATATATATATATATATAAAATATCAACCAACAATGACCAAACAATAAAAATAGCTACCATTTATTAAGTTTTCTATTTGCCAGACATTGTTTCATAGGCATTTAATCTTCCTATCATATAAGATTAAGTATCATTTGCTTTAACATTTTTTTTTCGGTACCGGGGTCAAACTCAGGACCTCACACTTGCCAGGCCAGCACACTGCCACTGAGCCTCATCTATGGCCCTCTATTTTATTTAATCTTTTTTTTTTTGTACCGGAGATTGAACTCGGGACCTTGTGCTTGCAAGGCAGGCGCCTGAACCACTGAACTAAATCCCTGGCCCTATTTTATTTAATCTTAATGACACTAGATAGCTTGATTATTCTCAGCATACAGATAAGAGAACTTAGAGAACTTAGGAAATTTGCCCAAAATCTCAGACAGAAAAATGGAAAAGCACTGATTTGAAATGTCACCAGATCTTAGAATCTAGGCTCATTACTCCTACATTTTATTGTTATACTTGCTAATTCATTAGTTTTAGTGTTCAGATTTCCCTAGTCAAAACAAAGTCTAAAAAAATACAATATAAAAAGATCCACTAGGGCCGGGGATTTAGCTCAGTGGTTTCGCTGCCTGCTGCGCAAGCACAAGAACCCGTTCGATCCCCAGTACCAAAAAAAAAAGATCCACTAAACCTCATAGGAAATGTCACACAAGAATCAACTAGTGGGCCGGGAATTTAGCTCAGTGGTTCCACCGCCTGCCTTACAAGCACAAGAACCCGAGTTCGATCCCCGGTACCAAAAAGAAGAATCAACTAGCAATAGCTCAATGATACAGCTCTTGCATAACATGCATGAGAGTCCTGTGTTTCATCCCCAGCCCCCCAAAAGTTAATATGAATTATTTATATGCTAATATGAATTATTTGCAGGGAATCAGATCAAGTGAATCTTTAACTCAGCATTACTATTCCTTACAATGCTTCTAATTCCTCAAGGAATACAAAAAACTGAAAAAAAAAAGAAGGAATACAAAAAACTGGATAGTTTCCCGTCCACCTCTCAAACCCATTATTTGCTCATAGTACTCTCCTTAGACATTTGTTAATATGTAGTAAGAAAGGCATCAGTGGAACAGAGCAGTGGCTGAGTTATTCAGGTCCAAACGTCCCCCAAGAGAGGGCAATTGGCCAGTAGCCATCTTGGACAGGGGACAACTGAAGTCAGAACTCAGGGCAGCTGAGGGCCAGCTCCATCAAGGTGAGGAGGAACCAAATTCAAGTTGACAGGAGATCAAGGAGCCAAGTTCAAGCCAATAAGAGGCACATGGGGTGTTGCAGGCTGAACAAAATGGGTTCCAGCCTGATAGCCAGAAACCAGGCTGAGCTTCAGAACTAAAGGCACAGGATGGCTAGGACTGCCCACCACCCCACCAAAAATCTATGGCTAGTTTGTTGGAATTAATCAACACAGATCTGGATTCTGTCTGCCCACTATGTCTACCAGTGACAGCAGAAGTGGACTTTTTTGCCTTGAAGTGGACTTTTTTTCCTTTTTTTCCTTGTTTTTGTTTTGTTTTTTCTTGATTGTTTATTTTTACATGAGTGAGAACAGTTTCTGGTTTTTGTTGTTGTTCTGTTCTTGTTTTTATTTTTTTCTTCTTTCCCACCTGTTTTCATCACCAGCTTCCCAAAGTTTGCATAATCTTCCTTTGTTTTCCAGCCTTGCTTCTAATCTCTTCCTCTTCTACTTCTCTATTTTTCCCCCTCTGCCCTTTAAAAATTTCTCCCCAGGTTAAAATCATCATACTGAGGGCATATTTACTATACACAATTTTCTGGTTTTAGATTTTGTTTTATAACCACAACTATAGTTCATACAGTTAAAGGTGGCAAGTTAATAGTTATCACAGCTTGTCATTTTCTAGGCTGTATTTGATGCTGTCGTTGCTGATTGTACTACTTTACTTCAGCCAAGGTGACACAGTTGCTCTTACTGGTGTGCCAAGACTGAGACTGCCAAAGGGTCAAACAATACTATAGGCCAGTGCCAAAGCCAAATAGGCAGCAACTTCTCATCCCCAATAAATTGAAGAGGTAGGATCTTGCAACAGACTCAAAACCCAAAAGCCAGCTACACCTGGAAGACATCTCTGTGAAGCAGTCATTTCCTAAGGGTTCAAATACCACCAATAAAGCTACATGCCATAAGCAATTTACAAGCATCAACCCAGAAATTACACTAAAAAAAAAAATAGAAAATGAGAAGACATTTAAAAAACATGCAAACCCAAACTCCTAGCACCAAAGAGGGGAAAAGTCTAAGCACATTATTAAAACACACTTAAAAAAAAAAAGTCACTTGGAAGAACTGAAATTATACAATTACAAAATTCAAATAGGGGCCAGGGATTTAGCGCAGTGGTTCCGCCGCCGCCTGCCTCGCAAGAGCAAGGTCCTGAGTTCGATCCCCAGTACCAAAAAAAAAAAAAAAAAATTCAAATAGGTTGGGAGAATAGGAGATGGACAATGTGCCCCAAATCTTCTTGGCCTTTAGTGGGAAAGATAACAGATAGTCACATAAACAAAATATTTAGTTTTCTGGTCATAACCATACCAAAAGTAGCAAAAGGGAAGGAGCTTTTTGCTTTTCATCTTAATACCTTTCTCTGTTGTTTTGTTTGGTTTTTTTTGCTGAGTTTGGCATGCGTTAGTGTTCTTACTCAAAAGGTAAAAATCACACCCTACAGCAGCTTCCCGTCCTACAGCGTCCCATCCTAAGGCTTCGTCCTACACTTCCCAGGCCTTCCCCGCCACTCTGAGGCTCCGAGGCTCCGAGGCTCCGGCCCGCCCGGCCCCGCCCGGCCCACCCGGCCCCTTACACTCCGAGGTGCGTGTGCGACGCAATCTTCCCGGAAGCCACGGTGGCTGCGCCCGGCTCGAAGCCGAGCGCTCGCAGGTACATCCAGAGGTGCTGCTTCTCGAAAGACGTGACCCGGGCCGAGCTCATCTTCCCGGCAGGCGCAGAGACTTCAAAGGAGGAGCGCGCAGGCCCAGGCGGCGAGGGCTCTGCTTAGGACTTCTCAGCACAGGCGGCTGGGAGTTGCAGCGCACCCTCCCTCACCACCAGCTCCTCCTCGCCTGGAGCCATCTCGCGTCAGACAGCCGAACGGCCGCCAGGAAATGGAGCCTCTAAAAACTGTGCAGCGAGAGCAGCCTCGACGAACCCACCACAAAACAAGACTCCCGCGCTTCAGGAAGCTCCGTGCGCGCAGGCGCCGCCCGGCTTCCGGGAGGAGGGCCTTCTCCGGAGGGCTACGTCTCCCGCCATGCAAAGTGGCCTCCCTCCTACCTTCCCGTTATGCCCCGCGAGAAACTACAAGACCCAGAGTGCATTCCGCGGCCAACTCGCCGTTCTCCGTTCTCCGTTTTCAGTTATTTCTCCTCATTCTACATATGATCAGATGGAGTACTGTGGCTCAGTATAATGAGAAAGTCATGTTGTATGACTCAACAAGTCAGCTAACCTCCGAGTCTCAGCTATGTCATTAGCAAAATCTATGCTCTGAAGAAGGGTGTGTTTTCCTCTCACCTTGCTTTTGCTCCCCCATGAACACATAGCTTCCCGGGCAGCACTCAGTTGATGGCTCATTTCTCGCACATGCTTCATGAACGACAGGGCCTGGACGTGGGGTGGGTGTCTCGCTCCACATTGCCATCTCTGACAGTTACTGTCTCCTGCGATGCATCTCTGAAATCACCTACATAAATAAGTCTTCTTTATGGAAGTCATCTATCTTTATGGAGGTAATTCCCAGAGAGCTGGACCTCATTTTGAGAAGATTCAGAACTTAATTCTTGTCTCCACAACATCTCTTCTGGGAGTTTTTTGTAATATCATATCCATGTAGGTGACCTTTTCAATACCCTGACTTCTCAGTTAATCGACCTCCTCTCAATAACCATATCTATTCTACCTTGGCCCCCCACTCTCGTGGTACATAACCCTAAACCTCATCAACATCTACCACACCTTCATAATCTCAATTACAGCCTCCTCCTAATTTTCTAGCTCAGTCCCTCTAAATCTCGTTGTAACAGTCCTTGAAACACCAGAATCACTAATCCTTTTCTCTCTGTAGTGTTTCTTACTCCCTTTATATTGTTATAATCATTAACTTGAACACATCACAGCTCCCTAGTCCCTTTCTCTTTGCCAGATTTATTGGCAAAACCCAACCCTTATTAAACCCACTTCTCTACCACACAAAGAGTTAACTCATGGATTTAAATGTACTTATGAGATTTAATCTATTCTATATCTTATCCATATTTTTCCATATTCAGCCAATGTGAATCTCGTCAAATTGGCTCTTTCAAGAAGTTCAAGACTCATTTTGTAATTTCATGTCTCGGACCTGGAGTCAGACATTTCTCCAGGGAACTGCTTTCTCTTATCAGGGAGCAGTGTTTTGTGACCACAACCTCGGGCACTAGGGATATTCACAGGTACTGAGTTGGCCAGTGTTTCTGCAATTTACTTATAATTTAGACTTATTCAGTGTTGTTTTGGGCCAGGCACTGCTCTAAGCATTCACAAATGTTAATTATTTAATCTTTTTAACAAACCTAGTACCATTCTCATTTTCTAGATGAGAAAATTGAGACAGTGAGATATTAAGTAACATGATCAAGGTCACCACAGTAAGTGGCAGAGCAAGATTATAACCTACAGCCAGGCATGGTGGTGCATGCCTTTAATCTCACCACTCCAGAGGCTGAGGCAGAAGAATTGCTGTGAGTTCTGAACTATATAGTGAGTTCAAGGCCAGGCTGAACTACATAGTGAAACCCTGTCTCAAAAGACAAAAAATTATACTCTACAGTCTGAGCCTTTACCCATCATGCTATGCTTCTCCCCCAGTGGACCCCCTTTTGTTCACTCACATGCCCTCCTCTTCCCAGGCTAAGGGAAAGCAAACTACCCCCACCCTTACTGGGGTTTGAACCCAGGACCTTTACATCCTCAACCCTTTTCAAAATTTTTTTATTTTGAGCTGGGTGTGGTGGCATAAGCCTGTAATCCTAGCACTCAGGAGGCTGAGGCAGGAGGATCACTGCAAGTTGGAGGCCAGCCTGGGCTCCATAGTGAGTTCAAAGACAACCTGAACTGCATAGCAAAACCCTGTCTCAAAAAACAAAACAAAAAAAAAGTTTTGCTTTTAATTTTGAAATAGGGCCTCACTAAGTTTCACAGGCTGGGCTCGAACTTGTGATCTTCCTGTCTCAGCTTCCCAGAAGGCTGAGATCATAGGCATAGGCCACCACACCTAGCAAAAGCAAAAGCTCTTGACCAGCAGACCCACTGAGATCCCCAAAGGGTTGTATATACTGTGGGACTGCATAACTCTGTAATCATAAAACTCCCCTAGCCCCAACTGTGAATGTGAGTAAATAGATAAAGATGCTTGTTAGTTCCGGGACACTAGATAAGATCTGTATCAGCCATAAGGTCCCAAAGTAAATTACTCAACTCTTTGTTCGAAACTGATGCTCTGAACACCGCTATCTATAGAACAATCTACAAACATCTGCTGACCATCAGTACGTGTCAGCTGACCACTAACCTTTGTTCCTCTTCTGTAAATTTCACCTGTTAACTTCCCCTGCAACCCCCTATAAAAGAGCCTTGGACCCTGGGCTAGTCGCCTCTCTAAGCTACTTTGCTTTGGGAGTGCCATCTGGCCAGACTAAGGTCTGTTTTACTTTCCAACTTGTCCGGTGTGTTCCTTCCTGGGTGTTCTTCGCTGCAGTCAGCTCCTCGGAGCATTTGGTAAGGCCCTCAGTCTTACATTTTGGAGGCACCGCTGGGATCCCCGGGTGTGCTTCACTGCAGTCAGCTCCTCGGAGCGTTTGGTAAGGCCCTCGGTCTTACATATACTATTATTACAAGACTCAGGATTGGGCCGAGGATTTAGCTCAGTGGTTCTGCAGCCTGCCTCTCAAGCACAAGGTCTCAAGTTCCACCCCTGGTACCAAAAAAAAGAAGAAGCAGGATTGAATCCTTAGAAACCAAGAAAAAGTCCAACAAAAACAAATAAACCAGAGCCCCACCCTGACTCAAGGTCACACAGCTTAGTTCTTATTACAGGTATTTCAGCAATTAAGCTTTTTTTTTTTTTTTTTTTTGGAGACACAGTCTCACTATGTAGTTAAGGGTGGCCTTGAACTCACTATATAACCCAGGCTGGCCTCCAACTCACGGTGATCCTCTTGCCTCAGCCTCCAGGGTACTGGCATTACAGGAATGCACCACCACACTCAGCCACAACAATTAAACTTTGAAGAATTACACAGAAGTTGTCTTACAAAAGTTTAGATCAATCAGGGTTCATTGCAGTTAAAATCAAGTGACCAAAACATAGATTAACACTCCCAAAAGCCATAGGAGTAAACACATGAGCAAACATGAAGGTCAATGTGATACAAATTTTATATTCAGCCAAAAAGGAGCATTTTTTCCTTATGTTAGTTATTCAGGGTTTTGCCCTGAGAAGACAGGTCAGTAGCCCTGACCTGTGGATGATTTCCTTCATCCTTCTCCTCCAAAGGTACAACATCTGGAATCTCATCCGTCTCTGATGTCAAGTCCATGGCAGTGCAGTCAAGCACCTGCAAAAGACATGGCTCTGAGCACTAGCCAGTGAACGCTAGATCCACAGGTGCTCTAAGAGACTGTGCACTGACCTGAGGGAAACTGCTTTGTGCAAGTCACGCTTAAAAGAACAAAAAGATATTTGAAGTCTTATTCCTCCAATCCACACTTATTATGAAAGCGCTAATGAAACCTGTCTGTCTCTCTCTGTGTTTTGTTCTGTTTGAGGGGTGGGTGGTTTGGGTTTTTTTTTTTGTATCAGGGATCCAACTCGGGACCTTGCACTTGTGAGACAGGCGCAGTGCCACTGAGCTAAATCCCAGCCCCTCTCTCTGTGTTTTTTGAGACAGGGTCTTGCTATGTAGCACAGGCTGGCCTTGAACTCTTGATCTTCCTGCCTCTGCTGCCTGAGTGTAAAATTTTTCTTTACAAGGAAACTAGTAACTAACTAGTGGCAGAATATATTCAGTGCTTTTAAAAAAACAAAAAAGGAAGATATAAAACATCTCTGGCTATCTACTGATTGGTTGCTCAAAACAATAATATTCCATAATAAAAACAGTAATATTCCATTTTATGTAACTGTCCCTTCCAAAAATACACACTCTGTTGGGAAACACTGGGGAACTGAGGGAGTGACTGGTGCTGTGATGGGTGAGAAAGCCCCACGAGGAGCCGAGTGCAGCACAATAGCAGTACGCACTTAGCACAAGCAAGGCCCTGGGATGCCCTGCATCAAAAAAAAAAAAAAAAAAGGGAAATTAGTAAGGCATAATAGATTATTAAAGACTGGAATCTTGATAGTAGAGAGAAAAAAAAGTAGCTGATTGCCTAACAGGGTCAAAATAACTACCAACAACAACAACAAAAAACCTCAAAAAACAGAAAGGGAAGGAAGGAGAAGGGAAATAAAAAGAATCAAGATACCGCATGTGATACACAAACACTTGACCCCAAAGGGGCTGTAATCACTGTGTACCACATACATGTGCTAGTAAAGAAACGGAAGGAAGACTCAGGGTTAATGTGTAGGGAGGGAGACTCAGAGTAAATGGGCGCAGCACTTACACTGGGATGACATAAAGTTCTGTAAACAGGTCATGGTCACAGTGGGACTGCACTGTGGATATATTTGATGCCACTGAATTATACACTTACAAATGGTTACAATGCTGGGTGTGGTGGTACAAGCCTGTAATCCCCCACTCGGGAGGCTGAGGCAGGAGGATCACCATGCGTTGGAGGCCAGTTGGAGGCCAGCCCGTGCTACATAGGGAAACTCTGTCTCAAAAAACCAAAATGAGACTGGGAATGTAGCTCAGTGCCACAGCACCTGCCTGGCAAGTGTAAGGTCCTGAGTTCGATCCCCAGTACAAAATAAATAATAAATAAATAATAAAAATGGCTAAAATGATAAGCTTGGTACTCAGGAGGCTGAAGCAAGAGCATCATGAGTTCGAGGCCAGCCTGGCCTACATAGCAAGTTCAAGGCCAATATGAGCTAATCAGTGAGACACCTTGTCTCAAAAAATCAAAAATAAAATAAAATGGTAAATTTGACAATATGTATAATATCAGTTCCACACATACACTACAACAAAATGGTTAAAAATTTAAAAAAAAACAAAAC